CTGAAACTACTCTGAAACTAACACATCTACTTGTTTACAGTTTGTTTATTAGCTCGGTGTATTCATCTGTCCTGAGTGTGAGGTCATATTAGCAGAATCACTCAGGCCCAAAATGAATGTTTTCACACCTCTGGCTCTGACCCGGCCTCTGTTGTTCTCTCTGTTTTAGGTCTGAGGATGGAGCTGTAAATAGGAGACAGATGATGTTCTGAGACAGTTTTTGGGATTGGGCCGACTTTTGGCTTAATCATGCATTGTGCTTCGTGTAGTTTACACGGGGTAACGAGAACAGATTAATACCTCACAACCAGTTCTCAATCAGCAAGAATATCCAAGAAATACCCAAGAAATCCAGTCGCCTCTTGTGAGGGTTTCACACTGTTGAACTTTTAAACCCTGTGATTTGGTCGTACAGCTTGAGCTGGGGCTGAGTGAAACCATCGAAAGTATCACACAGTGTCTGTCTGACATAAGAGTCACTCATGTTTGATCTGATTAGTTTTAAGATAAATCATTGTCTACGATTTCCTTTTAAAGACAAAAAACTCCAAAAGCAACTTGGTCCCATTCATTACACACAACTGCCAACATAGCCCCCGTCACATTTAGTCACATACACACACATACACGCACACATGCACACACACACACACATGCACACACATGCACTACATACCCACACACACACACACACACATGCACATACACACACCCACACATGCACATACACACCCACACACACGCACTCACACACACGCACACACACACACGCACGCACTCACACACACACACACACGCACGCACGCACTCACACACACACACACACACACACACACACACACACCACACACACACGCACACACACGCGCGCGCACACACACACACACACACACACACACGCATGCACATACACATCCACACACACGCACGCGCGCACACACACACACACGCACACTCACACTGATAGCTGTGTTCCGGCCCCTGACTGCCCTCTCTCTCTCTCTTCTCTCTTCGGGATTGGCCCTTCCCTCTCCATGACTGGCCCCTGTCTCTGCGCTGACCCCGGCCGACCTCACTTCCTCTCGGTTAGAATTGTGTGTTTATGTCCACATTCCTGGGACATGTCCACAGAGACCCCCGCTCTCATTATGTGCACGTTTGGGACCAGGAAGTGCAGTCCACAGGTGCTGGGAGCTCACACGCTAACATCTGTGCTCTCTCTCTCTCTCTCTGTGTGTGTGTGTGTGTGTGCGTGCGTGCGTGCGTGTGTGTGGACAATACAAACACATATCCACTACATTAACTATAAAAACATTGCTAAAGTTTTTAGGAGCCTTAAAGCAGATCTATTTTGCAGACTCCACTTTTCAGAGCTTTACACAATGCTGCAGTTGTTTCCTTCTCATTTACCCTCTAAAGTTATATTTGTGCATGTTTGAGTCACCTTTAATCACTAATTATTTTACACACCATATTGCTGATCGCCTCCTGTTTCACTGGCACCGACACACACCCGCTGTGACAGACTTACCTTTTCCTGCAATTCTGTTTTTATGATTAATCGTGATGTAGGATCCCACAGTGTCAGGAAGATGAATGGATGATGGGGGGGACACTAAACAGAGCAAAGTCTTTGGTCTTTCTCCAATTAAAACTAAAAAGCTAAAAGTGATCAGCTTTATTGTTCAAAATATATAAACAGAAATAAGACGTCCCCCACGTCTGTCATTCATACAAGATGCTGTTTTACACATTTCAGACAACACTCTGATCTGTGAGGAGCTCGTGGAGATGGTTCAACACTTACAGCTCAAACTACAGCTTTTTCACTCAAACATATCAACATCATTTCAACTTAGACTCAGACAAAGAGAAACTATCAGATGTTTTATTGCATGTGTTCTCTTTGGTGCTGATGATGAAAGGATGAGGAGAGAGAAGGAGAGGATGAGAGCATGAGGAAAGAGAAGGAGATGATGAGAGGATGAGGAAAGAGAAGGAGACGATGAGAGGATGAGGAAAGAGAAGAGGACGCTGAGAGGATGAGGAGAGTAGCAGGGAGGAGTCATAGGAGAGACATGATGAAGGCGGAGGAGCAGGTAAAGTCATTTTAAGAGTTATACATAAAATTTCACCTCACCTTCACTTTATCAGGTTCTGTCTATTCTTTTTTTTTTTTTTTTTAATTCCTGGTTTACTCATAGCATAATATCATGTGACATACACAGAGGTGATTCCAGTTCTGTTACTTAGCAACCACCAATGTTAACACGGGCCAAAACTCACTACTAAACCAAATGATCGTATTTTTCAGATTATAAATTGCTAAATTGAGTATAAGTTGCACCAGCCAAAAAATGCGCAATTGAGGAAGAAAAAAACATATATAAATTGCACCAGACTATAAGTTGCACTTTTTGGGGAAATTTAATTTATAAAATCAGGGATCAGGAACCGACATTTCATCTTGAAAGTCAAGTTCTTGTAATAACAACAGAACAGAGAACAACAGACTGAACAGGTGTTAATATGTTAATGTCACATATTAAGAGTTATTCAGATAATTAGAGCATAAACAACAGAACATAAGTTTACCAAACTCACGATCTCACTCCAAATCACTAAATCCAATCAATTCTTCATCCTCAGTGTCACTTCTGCGTGACCTCTGGAGGTAAACTGCAGATCCATGATGTAAACAGAGCGCCGCTTCCTCTTCTGTGAAACTATCATCAGACTCAGCATCAGTTCCAGTTAGAAGTATTCGTGTCTTTCTGAATCTCGACAGGATGGTTTCAATGTCATTGAAGTTCAGGCTTTGTCCATCCATACAGTGACTTCAGGAAAGTTTCACTGTGGACCCGCCTGGTTATTGTGAAGCTGTGTTCTGCATTCCCGCTTTCCTCCAGTCAATCACAAGTTTCTCGCTCACTCCAACCTTTCTTTCTGCTGCTCGATTATCATTTTTGGCAGCAGATTTCACTATTTGCAGCAGAACAATGGCTTTTTCTGCAGGAGACATGTGCAGCAGAGTGAAGTGACAGTGGTACAGGAGGAACAGGATTAATAGGAGCAGCAGATACTGACACACAAGCCTAGAGCATCCTCTCGCAGCCGTCAGTCTGAAAATTTCAATATATAAATTTCACGGGAGTATAAGTGGCAGGAAACACCCAAACCATGAAAAAAATTGTTAACTTATAGTCCGAAAAATACGGTACACAATAGTTATGAGACAAATAAAATAACATGACAACACCTTTTTTTTTTTTAAAATAAAAGTTTGAACAGAAACAAAAAAGGCATTTTTGTGCGTAAATTGTCTCTGAATTTTGGATGGAGTTTTCTGTGGTGATGACATTTTTCAGCTTTTCTACCACAGGTCCTCTCTCACCAAACTAAGTCAGAGTTAGAAAAACATGAAAACCTGTCAGATGCAAAAACGTGTGGAATTTTAAACACTCAGTTGTGTCTGAATGTTTCTGAGCTCCTTGGGGGAGTGGCGCTGTGGCGCTGTGGTGCTGTGGGTTTGGCAGGTGCTCTTCATCATGTTTCTCTTCTCTTCCTCAGTCTCCTGTCAGCAGCCCCTAAACCACAAACCAACCCCACAACCGCCTGGATACAGGGAGCTGAGACCAACTGCACGTTACAAAAGATAAACCCAAATCACATCTGGTTTCTCATCAGGACCAGAACAGAAGACTTCAGTGAACTGTCTGTAAGATTGTATAAGTATAAAAAACACTGGACATGATGATTCATTTATTTATGTCATAATTTGGTCATTTGGTTTCATCAGTCAGAAAGCAGAATGAGCCTCATGACTCTCATTTGTGTTGCCAGTTTCAATGGTGAAATCCAGTGGGTTTAAACCTAAAACGTCTCTCTGATCCGAATGGTGACTCTCTAAACCTCAGCACCTGCACCTGTCATGAGTCAGTGCTAGTGCAGCCTCTGCAGCTCAGCGAGGGAATTCTGGAGGTTCTGAGAATGAGACAAACTTGGATGTGTCGTCTATCTGCAGGTTGAGGCTCTGGCAGTACAGGTTCAGTAGTGATTGTCGGACTTTTTATAAACACAAGAACACAGGCTGCATACAGTGTATTTAAATTTAATTTAAATTTAATTATGGAAGCCAGGAAAGCAGAGTGCAAATATGCAGGCTACACTTGAGGTTGTTGAATTCTGAATAGCCAAAGCAACATTTTAATAAATGTCTGCTTTTGTCTGCATTTGGTCGAGGAAACGGGCCATTCTATAAAGACGTCTACATAATGGACTTTTGCTAGTGTGTCACATTTTCTTCTCAGCCTTAACGACACAAATCATACTAAATGAACCATGTTATAGCATTGTTTCCTCTTCAAAATGTTGCAAAGTGCTTCAACACACCAGGGCTCTTAGTCAGGAGAGATAATGCTGCGCTGTAAAAACAGCATATTCAAAAAGTGAAACATGTGAAATCATGTGGGCCTGTGTGCACATTCCAATGCTGTTTTTGGGATACAAACATCTCAAAGTCAATTTCAATACTAAGAAACAGCCTTGACAATGACACCACGATGAGAATTAAAAAAAAACTCTTTTGGCAATGGACTATGACCATTCTTTCCTATTCTTTCTTTTCAATTCTCACGTGGTTTAATATGTGTGTGATCCTCAGTAGTGCAGTAGTTTCATGTGTGTATACTAGTCTATGTGCTCCTATACTTGTTTTGTAACAGCTCAAGATCATTCTAAAGACATTCATGTTCATTTCTGTCATGTGAAGGCCACTTTTTAATTTCAATACCGGCTCAAATTCATTACTAGTTTTAGTGTGGATTAGTATCTACTTCCTACATTCCACAAGCTTGACATTTTGACCGTGATGAGGAACAATTATTTCTTAATCCAGATACTGACAACTAAACACTAGCAGATGTTTTTGAAAAGAGTTTTCTGAACATATGCAAGAACAAACAGGAGTTCTACAAAAACATTTTATTGATTTATTAACAACTGTACATCTCTTTATGCTAACAGCGTTATACTTTGGTGTGGTTTTCGTCTGGGCAGGCACTTTCTGCCACTTTTCACACAGCTTCAGTTGACCCGGTGGCTACCAGGAAAGAGGGGGGTGGGGCTAGGGTGCGGGAGGTGGGGCTAGGGTGAGGGGAGGCGGGGTCAGGTACCAGGGCTAATGGGTCCGTGGACGTATCCGAGAACCGCGAGACGACCCACACAGCGCCGCTTGGCTCCAGTTCAGTTCGCGAGCAGCAGTTAGCCTCTAGCAGTTAAGGGTCAACATCAAAACGTCCCCGTGTTCCGAAAACAATCTGACAAGTCCATAAGAAAGACGCGAGACAGAGCAGGACACATAGTACACTGTAAAACCTTTGTATAGACCATTTAAATGTACATCCACGGGTCAGGCCGACAGCGCCCCCTTCTGCTCCTGAGACGCCACGCCCGTCATCAAGTAAAAGCACGGCGACAAAAGGCCATTTCAAAAATAAGATCCCACCGAACGTCCCGCACACCCTTTAAAAACGCAGTCCTAAAAATCAGCACAGTTTAAAAAGATTCCACCGAGTTCTGGCTAAAGAGAGGAGGGACCAATCAGCACGATACAGCCAGGACATGAAAATATATAGACTTTATCATATATAGAAAAGGTCTTTGATCTGAGCCAATATGTACACTTTTCACAGGCGTCACTGGACTACGAGGTCTGTAAGAAATGAAGCGCTGCTCCATTGGCGAGAAACTGTTCAAATAATCCATAGGTCAGACGGGGAGAGGAGGTCAGCAGACAAGGAGGTGGTCAGCAGAGGAGGAGCAGGTCAGGTGGTGGTCAGGTGAAGGTCAGTTGGAGGTCCGGTGAAGGTCCGGTGAAGGTCCGGTGAAGGTGAGGTGGAGGTCAAGAGGAGGTGAGGTGGAGCAGTTTCAGTAGATGACCTCGTACACTGTGGCCTTCTTGTCTCCAGAGCCTGTTACGATGTACTTGTCGTCTGCAGAGATGTCACAGCTCAGGACGGACGACGACTCCTTGGACTGAAACAAACAAACAAACACAAGTCAGGTTTTACTTCACCACGAGAGCTAGAACTGCAGTTGGGTAGTAGTAGTAGTAGTAGTGATAGTAGTAGTAGTAAATAGCAGTACTAGTAGTAGTAGTAGTAGTAGTAATAGTAGTAGTAGTAGTTAGTAGTAGTAATGATAGTAGCAGTAGTAGTGATAGTAGTAGTAGAAAGTAGAAAGTAGTAGTAGTAGTAGAAGTAGTAGTAGTAGTAGTAGTGGTAGTAGTAGTAGTAGTAGTAGTAGTAGTAGTAGTAGTAGTAGTAGTAGTAGTAGTAGTAGTAGTAGTAGTAGTAGTAGTAGTAGTAGTAGTAGTAGTAGTAGTAGTAGTAGTAGTAGTAGTGATAGTAGTAGTAGTAGTAGTAGTAGTAGTAGTAGTAGTAGTAGTAGTAGTGATAGTAGTAGTAGTAGTAGTAGTAGTAGTAGTAGTAGTAGTAGTAGTAGTAGTAGTAGTAGTAGTAGTAGTAGTAGTAGTAGTAGTAGTAGTAGTAGTAGTAGTAGTAGTAGTAGTAAATAGTAGAAAGTAGTAGTAGTAGGTAGTAGTGGTAGTGGTAGTAGGTAGTAGTAGTAGGTAGTAGTAGTTGTAGTAGTAGCAGTAGTAGTGATTGAAGTAATAGTAGTAGTAGTAGAAGTGATAGTAATAGTAGTAGTAATGATAGTAGTGGTAGCAGTGGTAGTGGTAGTAGTAGTAGTAGTAGTAGTAGCAGTAATAGCCATCGCAGTAGTAGTGATAGAAATAGTAATAGTAGTAGTGATAGCACCGTGAGTCAAAGCACCGCGATTCAAAGTACTGTGAGTCAAAATACTGCAAGTCAAAGGACTGCGAGTCAAAGTACTGCGAGTCAAAGTACTGCGAGTCAAAGTACTGTGCATGGGTAGTACCTGGAAGATACTGGCGCCGTACGGGGTCCTCCATGCGTTCAGCAGGTTGTCCTTCCCTGTGCTCACAAACCACTTCCCTGGAAACACAAATTCTGGGCGTCAATACAAGAAGAGGGTTTCTGAAGACTGCTCCCTCTCTCCGCCGCCACTATGAGAAGCACAGCACCCAGTGGGCGAGCTCCACAGCCTGTGCAGCACCCACTGGGAGAGCGCTCTGCAGTGGGGAGAAATAATGAAGGAGAAAGCATCATTATTTTAATCAGCCTCTGATTAATTAGCCGCTGACGATTGGCTAATGATTTAATTAGTGACAGAAGGGCTCTCCGTGCAGCAGCTCTGTGTGGGGCTGACACACTGAGAGAGGAGAGGAGCACCGCAGGAGAGGAACTCATTAGAACCTGATGTTATACCACAGGAGCCAGAACAAAGAGGTGTGGGGAAAGTCTGCTGTCTTTAAAGCCCAAACTATGCTATTTTCTCATCTCTTATATACAGTGTTGGGAAGGTGACTTTTAAAATGTATTCCCCTACAGATTACAGATTACACACACCAAAATGTAGTTTGTAACATAATCCATTAAATTACTTAAAGTGAGTAATGTAATCTGAATACTTTGGATTACTTGATTTGCTGTAGAGAAACAAAGACCAGGATATTGTAACATAAGATGTTTTGTCTGATAAAAGAAAATAAAAAGCCCAGACTTTACTTCACTGTATTAAAAATATTATTGATAGAAGACGAGGAGTCATGTCTGCGCAGCATGATTTAGTCCTGTTAAATCCTGTTAAATCCTGTTTTAGTCCTGTTTTAGTCCTGTTTTAGTCCTGTTTTAGTCCGGGTTTAGTCCTGTTTTAGTCTGAGTTTAGTCCTGTTTTAGTCCAGGTTTAGACCTAGTTTAGATCTAGTTTAGTCCTGGTTTTAGTCCTGGTTTTAATCCTGGTTTTAGTCCTGGTTTAGACCTGTTTTAGTCCGGGTTTAGATCTAGTTTAGTCCTGGTTTTAATCCTGGTTTTAGTCCTGGTTTTAATCCTGGTTTAGATGTAGTTTAGATCTGGTTTAGTTTCCTGCAATGAGTGGAATTACTGAAAAAAAAGAAAAAAAAAGGTGGGATATAGCCCAAAATGTGAAAACAGGAAAATACCACAGTGTAATCCATTTATTTCAACAAAGTAACTGTAATCCAATTACCACTCACTGAAACAGTAACTGTAACTGAATACAGTTACTCAGAATTTGTACTCTGATTATGTAACTCGGGTACATGTAATCTGTTACTCCCCAACACTGACTATAATGTTGTTTCCTACAAGATTAACACAGATTTTTCCTTCTTTAGTGGATGTTTGTGAGGTGTGAGGGATCACCTTGTAATCTCACACAGACGTTCTTTATCTGCCCAGTCCTGACCACCTTTTGACGCGTTTATTTTCATACTTTGTCCGAAGTGGTGTCAAAAACAATTCATGTTTCTAACCCTAACCCTTGGCGATCTTCAGTCTCCCGGAAGACTTCCCTCGCTATTCAACTTTACAGAAACAGGTTTTGGTGTTTACTTCTCTTGTTGCAAGACGCCATCTCCTCTAACACTGGAAACCAACAAATGCCCCTCCAGCCTCAATGGATTCATGAAGCTATGTCCTTTTTGAAAGTAGAGAAGATGAGGTACTCTATGACACCCCTGGATCTTTTTTTTAATTTTTTTTTTATTTTAAGAAAGTACCATTTATTGACTTTTTTGTATTTTTTTTTATGTATGTATTTATTCATTTTTTATTTAATTATTATGATTATTTGTATTTATTTATTTATTTTTGTTATTAATAATAGTAATAGTATTTTTACAGTCATTCTATCATTATTATTATTACATGGTATGACACTACTTGTGTTTCTTCATATTTCCTGAAGGTTTGAGTGATTTGTTTTAGTTAGTTTTGTAAGTTATGTTTTCTCTGTATAAAAATAATAAAAGTGTGTGTACGTGTGCATCTGAATGACACATCTATATCTGTTTACACATGAATACAAATATATGAAACCAAATGTCATTTCCTGATCACACACACCTGGAGTTGTGTTTCGTTTCATTCACATGTTTAACACACTAACAGAAAACAACTTGTGATGTCATGTGGTGATACAGGAAGTGCTCCATACTCCACCGAATGAAACAAAACACAACTCCAGGTCTGTTTTTGATGGGGTTATATTATAACATGATTTAAAGCTCACAAGAGTCAATGTTGTGTAATGTAGAACCATAAAGGCTCAAAGTTAACACACAACATATTCAGATCACCAGGTTAAGTAGACTTGTACAAGAGGTGTGGACTGCTACTGTAAACCATAAAGAGGATTTAAATAGATCACAAGAACACTGGAACATGCATGGACAACACCTCAGACCTCTTCAGGCATGTTTTTGATGAAAGAACATTATAACATGGGAGAAACAGCCATAAAGTTGAATTAGCATAATGATCCTTTGAAATTGTACATGATAACTGTATATTTCTGAATTGTAGCATTAAACAGAAATGTAAGCAGACAAGTTATAAATAAAATAAATCACCTTTGGCATCAATATGTCTGATCAAATTCAGTATTTACTAGGGATTGTCAGTGTCACAATAATATCAAGAGCTGTCCCAATATATCGGATTATAAATTGCTTTGCTAAAATGCACTGTTCTTTAGTAGGAACTGCTAATAATCATATGAAACTACATGTCCCATAATTCATTTCATCAGACAACATGAAGAAATATTTTTTTTAACTTGAATTCTTGAGATTGTGACAGTAATAATCTTGTCAACGTTTTTTAAAAGCAAAAAAACTGTCCTATCTAGAATTATATTTGCCACTCCAAAATATCGCAATAAATATCGTACCATGAGATGCAGCTCATGATAATATCGTATTTGATTAGATTTGAATGTTGATACATCCCTAATATTTACAAATGCCCCTAATAAAAGGTGTACTCCAAAAAGATACTGAAGCCAAAATATATAATTATTTTGTAAGGAGAGTCTCAAAAGGCTGTCTTGTATTAGTGTGACAATGTGAGGAATGTTCCGGGCCTTACCGCAGTAGGCGAACTTGAGTGACAGCACGCAGCTCTCGTGCAGGTGCAGCTGGTACTTGTCTGGTTTGGTGTGGTGTAAGACCTCCACGTTACTGCTCTCCATGCCCACGGCCAGCCACTCGCCCGTGGGACAGTAGCCCAGGGAGAAGATCTGCGCAGCACAACACACAGCGTCACTTAAAGCGAACTTATGTTTATGCAAAACACGGAATTTACATAGAGTGTGCACATGGAACAGAGTGGCAACAAATATGTATCCCAGTGTTTTCTGTCTCAAGTTTAGTCACATTCCCCTCCACTTGCAATTAAGCTTGTTTACAATAAAATATTATTATTGTTATATTATTACAAAATATATTTTAAATACATTTAAATTCACAGCAAATATTTTGAATTGATTTGTGTACATTTTTATATTTTTGAAAAATAAAATTATTTAAATGATTTTTTTTTTTTGGAATAATTCCAAAAATGTCCCAACAAGTACTCGATTAGGCGAATATCTCTGCTGCAGCTGCCTGTGTGTGTGCGTGCGTGTGTGATTGTGTGTGTGTACCTGTGAGGTGAAGTCGTGTTGCTGCAGCTGCATGTGTGTGTGCGTGCATGCGTGTGCGTGCGTGCATGCGTGTGTGTGTACCTGTGAGGTGAAGTCGTGTTGCTGCAGCTGCCTGTGTGTGTGTGCGTGTGTGTGTACCTGTGAGGTGAAGTTGTGTTGCTGCAGATGCCTGTGTCTGTGTGTGTGTGTGTGTGTGTGTGTGTACCTGTGAGGTGAAGTTGTGTTGCTGCAGCTGCCTGTGTCTGTGTGTGTGTGTGTGTGTGTACCTGTGAGGTGAAGTTGTGTGCTGCAGTGCCTGTGCTGTGTGTGTGTGTGTGTGTGTGTACCTGTGAGATGAAGTCGTGTTGCTGCAGCTGCCTGTGTCTGTGTGTGTGTGTGTGTGTGTACCTGTGAGGTGAAGTGTGTTGCTGCAGCTGCCTGTGTGTGTGTGTGTGTGTGTACCTGTGAGGTGAAGTTGTGTTGCTGCAGCTGCCTGTGTGTGTGTGTGTGTGTGTGTGTGTGTGTGTGTGTGTGTGTGTGTGTGTACCTGTGAGGTGAAGTCGTGTTGCTGCAGCTGCCTGCCCTCCCTCAGGTCCCAGGAGCGCACAGTGTTGTCCAGGCCCCCGGTCCACAGCTTGGTCCCGTCGTGGGAGATGTCGATGCAGCTGGCCCCGTCCGTGTGGCCCTGGAACTGCCTGCAACACACACACACACACACACACACATTCACACACACACAGTCACACACACACAGTCACACACACACACAGTCACAACCTCCTCCATAACTATACAAGTGTGTCTTTTAAATTGGTAATCACTACACAACTGACCTTTTTTCTCATCAATCTGAAACCCATTGAGAGAAACTTTGTTGATATTTTAAATTCTCACTCGAGACTCGTGACATTTAAACAACAGCCTGTGGTGTAGTGTAGTAGTGTAGTGTCAAAAGTATTAAAAATCCAATACTGATCAATACTCAAACTAGTATCAAAACTAGATACTCAACAAGAATCGATAATCAAATATTCCTGAATAGAATGATGTTGAGTTGTATCAGAACAAGTAGAAGACACATAGACTAGTACACACACATGGACCAACATGAACCTACTGCACACACAAAGAAAGTACGTAAGTATGATTTAATGTTGAAAATCACATTCTGTTGTCTACATAGACAACAGAATGTGTCTATGTAGTGGGCAAACTTTTTGACTCGTGGGACACAAAGGGTTCTAAAATTTGATGGAAGGACCGGACCAGGAGCAGATGGATGAAGTTTTTTTGGTAATCCACCTCATAAGAGAGAAAATATCCAATGTTATTGAAATATTCCATAACTGAAAATCATTACAACAAAATATCTGTCTTTCCAAAGTCCTACGGTATTTACTATTTATTGAAATTACTTTTAAAATCCTGAAAATTATTATTATTATTATTATTGTTCAAGTTTGGCAGGCCGGATTAAAAAGATTAAAGGGCCACATATGTCCCCCGGGCCTTAGTTTGCCCACCCATGGTCTAATCCCTCAGTTGTCCAGGTAGGATTTAGAGCAAAAGAGAAACTCATTTCTGTCAACTGGACAAAAGGTTTTGCTCAAAGGTGCTTCGCAGCTCATCCAAGCTGCTTCTTTAGTTCTGGCCAGACGCTGGTGGACACTGCATTATATCAACCTGAAGGGAGGAGCTAACTACACTGAAACTACTCTGAAACTAACACACCTACTTGTTTTGTTTTCTTTTTGTCATCTATTGGAATGTGATATTGGAATCAGTATTGAGTGTCAAATCTATTTCTTAGTATCAAACTAGAGACATTGTATTATGGTTTATCATTCTAAACAGCTCCCTCTGATCGGAGCGTTGACAAGCCCGGTGTCTGACCTGACGAGGGTCTGGTTGTGCAGGTCCCACACTGCGATGTTTCCGTCGCTGCAGCAGGAGAAGCAGACTTTGGCGTCGGGGCTGATGGCGAGGGCGTAGCAGGCCGGTGCGGACGACGTCAGCTCCGCCTTGATGCGCGGCGTCTGTGAGGCCAGGTCCCAAATAGTGAGGGTGCTGGCCTCTCCGCCCACAATCAGGGTGCGGCCGTCAGGCAGCAGCTTACACGAGCGGATGTAGTTGTCCCGGTTCTGCAGGACACAGAGTGGGATTAGGAAGAACAAGAAACAACACAATCCATTCTAAACTGTTTGCTGACTCACTAATCCTGATAAGGTAATATTTCCTTAGCAAAGAACTAAATGGAAAAAAAGCTGGTTTACTCTTTAATCTTTAAAAGAGCTATAGAGTTCTAATCTGTGACACCCGTGGATCATTATATTATAATTCGCTGACTTCCAATGGAGCAGATGCCACAGTAAACATCATCACATCATTTGTACCAAAATGACTATGTGACGTAATCAAATCCTGCGTGTATCAGCGTTTAAGAGAATAAAATTGGAGAACGAAGTGCATACAGAGCAGTGGGCATGCACTGGAGGTGGTGAACACGGGAGTTTATCAGCAAAATTGTGAAACATTGAGAAGTTAAATGACAAAGGAAAGCAGCTATAACACATTGTACAATAGTTCTAGAACTGTATCACACTTAGTTTTTTAAAAGGTTCTACACTCACATCTGGACCAGTACCAGAGCCTTCACCTGCAGATAGTTTGTCTCATTCTCAGTTTATGGACAGGCCTCATGTGAAGCTCAGAACCTCCAGATTTCCCTCCGTGAGCTGCAGAGGCTGCACTAGCACTGACTCATGATTGCTCCCCTTTGATTAGCTGAGGTCTCTCCATTAGCCGCCCTGTGATTGGCCGAGCTGTAGCATTAGCCGCTTAGTGCCCTGCTGCCCTCCTGCTCACATCGCTCACTTGGAGCAGAGCACAGAGCTGAGACAGAACAGTGCTTATAAAGCCATCACACGGCACTTTTAATTCAGCCGGAGCTTAAGCAGCCATATTGATCTGTCTGCTCACCTGGAGCTGAGCCAAGCCACAGCTGACAGCAGCGTGTGAGCAGAGCCAAGAGTGAGGCAGAGGAGGAGCTACTCAGACTGTCCCCTGCTCCATGAATATGTGCTGAGACCTGTGTGTTTAGTCTCCGCTGATGTAAAGATATGCACTGTGAAGGCTGTGGGACCAGGGCCAAGGCACACACTTCCTCGAAACACCACTTATCTCAAGAGTTTGGATTAGGTGCTACTTTGACCTCTACTCTTAAGAAAGTTGGAGAAAACCTTTTCCATTATAGAACCACATGTTAATTTATGAAATCAGTATTCACAAAGCACAAAACACAACTTATAGAAAATATATTTTTTTAATTAGAACAGTTTCCAAGAAATATTGTGTGGCAGCAGGAGAGCAGAGTGGAGCTGGAGAGAGATTTGGCAAATTATTAGGGCTTTATATCAACAGCCCCAGCTTCAGACAGGTTAGATTATACATTTACATATGCAAATGTGTAATTTATATTACAGTGTGAGGACAGTAAGATGTTGTTTTAGTTATGTGTATTTTTATATTAATGGATGCATGTGTATGTCAGATTTACATTATAAATTCCATAATCACCACACTATGTCTCTGGTACGACTTGAATATGCTCACACAACTTTCCCTGATAACAATGGTAATGTTTTGTTTTTTTCCCTTCATTACTGAAAACATTGGGCACAATGTCACATCTATTTAGGTTGATGTTTTGGTTCTCAAAACAGTTATCCAATCAGAAAGCAGAATGAGGCTCACATGATTCTCCCATTTGGGTTGCCAGGTTCAATGCTAAAATTCAGCTGGTTTAAACCTAAAAAGCACCTGCAGATACAGGCCTAAGCATGTGTTCCAAGGGCCGAGTCCCCACAGAATTTCTTGATTCCAAAACAGGGACGATGGAGGCTGCAGCATATCATTTTGTGCTGCACATGAATGTAAAACCACATGCCTCGTCTTGAGGGGTCAGCCATATGTTCCCACAGCTCTATGTTCCCACAGCTCTATGTTCCCTCATTTCTAAGATTTTTCTTATTTCTAAGATTTTTCTCAAAATGAAACTCTAATTCAAGTCATTTTTATTTTTATACCGCATACCAGATGAGTCAGAGTCATTTCAACCTCGGGCCCTTTGCACCATGATTTCTACATGACATCTGTAGTCAACTGCAGCTGGATCATAGTTTGGGTTTAATTGACTAACAAACTGGGAGAAATGGGGATAAAATCTGATGCAACTTGATGATAAAGGGAATGTGGGAACAAAGGGCCTAATTTTGTAAAAAAAAAAATAAAAAATAAAATAAAATAAAAAAATGAGGGAACATAGGCCTTGACATGACATTGAGCACCAGATAAGTTCCTTTTCCGCTCTTAGATGTGTGTCCTCACCAGACAGTCGAGCTGGGACACGGGGCTCTTGCTGCCCGGCTGGCTGATGTCCCAGATCTTGACACAGCCCTTGCCCCCGGTGTAGACGTGGCGCGTGGGGTTACTGATGGTGACGGCGCACACCACCTCGCCGTGGCTCAGCGTGTTGATCTGGCGGGCATGGCGCGGTATGCCCGGGCCTATCAGAGCGTCCGGAGGGAAAGGCACCGGCTGCATCTGCCCGTCTGCGCTCACGTGAAACGAGTAGGCCCTGAGGAGGAGAACACACGGGGGGTTAAAGGTTTGAATCAAAGTGCATAGGACAGGTTCTGATGATTCTCCAGTTTGGACTTCATTTGGTGGGATAATACTTGGTGTAAATATGAATTATAGTTTTACACAAATCAGAAAACAATGAAAATGTGAAGAAATGTTGAAAAATACAGAAAGTTCTATTTTCAACAAGTCCATATTGTTGACATCACAGTGAAATCTGCCCAAAAGTTCAGCAAAATTTACATGCAAGAAACACTTTTTCCCGATATTTTATAGGTGTGCAGTAAACAAGTGCCTCTTCAATAACATTACAGTCACAAGCTAACCTTGTGTCAGCTTTTGTCAAGAATATTCCACGGTACGGCATTAAACATGTATATCTTCATTTAGATAAGCAGATGGCACTAACATACCGAGTTATGAGTCAGATCAGTGGAGCACACTAACAGTCTGCATTTTTCAACTTCCAGCAATATAAAAAACACCAAAATAAAGCATGATAGATCAAGTTTAATGCTCTACTCTGGAACACCCAATATAAACAATAATATCTCCATGGGAATAAGCAGGTGGCAAAAAAGTTAACCAGAAATGTAAACAGAAAATTTACATAGTGCACATTTAAATGGAAAATTCATTTTTGGACAAACTTGGTGCACTTCAAAAAACAATATAAAAATCAAGTCTTACAGACATACATCGAAGACTAGATTCATTGTCCATAGCTTTTCTTTAACTGTACCTTTTATTTTGTACGATCATAAACGATACATTTTATCATTATTATTAGTTTGTACAGCCATAAATGAAGAAAAAAAAACAAAAAACTTACATCTTTTCATTCTCATTGTGGTTTAGTTTGTACAATCATACACAATAAACTTTTTGTGCCTTCGTTAACATTATTATTAGTTTGTACAACCATAAACTGAGAAAAAAAACTAACTAAAAAACAACAACTGGCATCTTAAAAAAAATAAAGATAAGAACTTAAAAAAAAATAAGATTGTCTTTCTGTTAGAGGGGTTAGTATAGGGAACAATCTGAGTGATTTTTTTAAGTCTTGAATGATATAGAGCTCTGGAATTAATGAATTATGCATTCCATTTTGTTATAATTTATATTTTGTCTCTTATGTTTACACGAAGTCGCAAGTGAAATTGTAAAGGCAAACTTGCTGTTCATACATTGCATACAGTTGTAGTCTATGTTTTGTTTTCTTTTGTTTTGTAGTGCTGCAAAATGACTGAATAAATTACTACTACTAAAAAAGAAAAAAAAAAAAAAGTCTGTCTTATTTTATTGTAAGTTTGGTTTGTGTCTGACTCAGTCGATATGGAGATGTACACGCAGGCAGCTGATCCAGGACTGGCTAGGCCTAATCTGAATTATTTATAAACTGAGCACTGGGGCTGAAAAACTTGGGAAGAACTTTCTAACTGTGATTTTTCTGACAAGCATTGTGATTTTGATTAGATTTGTGATTTATGTTTGAATAATAGGATTCTGTTCAAAGTTCATCCTTTAAACACATCAAAAAGAATCTGAAGTGACAAACGAACGCGAGAATGATTTTTCAGACCATGTTTGAACAGATCTAAAGTGCATGGTTAGTAGTGTTGGGTAGGTCACTTTTAAAATGTGGTCATAAGTGTCATATTGTTTAGACCTGGTTTAGTCCTGGTTTTAGTCCTGGTTTTAGTTCCGGTTTAGTCCTGGTTTAGACCTGCCTTAGACCTGGTTTAGTCCTGGTTTTATTTCTAGTTTAGTCCTAGTTTAGACCTGATTTAGACCTGGTTTAGTCCTGCTTTGGTCCTGGTTTTAGTCCTGGTTTAGTCCTGTAACTTTAATCCAATTACCACTCATGGAAACAGTAACTGTAACTGAATATAGTTACTCATAATTTGTACTCTGATTACATAACGCTGGTACAAGTAATCTGTTACTCCTCGACACTAGTGGGTAATAGTTTTACTCAGGATAAGACAAGAGATTTTGTTGATTGTGGAAGAAATTATGGTTCTTCAAAAATTATGTCCAAAATATTATGATTTTTATTCAGTTGTGCACTAATGAGCTCTATCATCACTCTAGGAAAAAAAATGTTACCATGTCTGTCCAAAACTTTACAATAGCATCTAGAAAGGTAAATACTGGCTCATGTGTGTGAGATGATCACATCTACACATCGATATGAGATCAGAGAGACTGAGTTACTCACGGTTTCCCCCCTGAGATGGAGGTGAGGCTGGCGGGCAGGCCGGCCGCTCTCATGTGGGGGTGCGGGTCGAAGCCTCCCTGGATAAACACAAGGTGAACAGAACAGTGAGTAAACAGAAGCAGCCTGGAGACGCACATGCCCCAAAAACAAGGCCCGTTTCCAGGCAGATCCCTGAAAGGCGCAGACGCTGGTTCTTTGCATTCAGACAAGCGTTACACAGGCTGCAGCGCGCCGCCGCTAATGCTAATGAAAGCCCAGATTTTCAAACACGAGATGCACTGGGCCCGCGCGCTTTAAAGCCTTTAGAATGCTAACCATGCCACTTCAAAGTGCCAGCACCGCTTTGTACACGCTCATTAAGCACACACAACAAGGAGCAGCCAGCCAGCCGCAAACACACACCAGGGAGAGAGGGAGAGGAGAGAGAGGAGAGAGAGGAGAGAGAGCAAAGAGAGGAAGTGAGGAAAGAGAGGAGAGAGGTTGAGAGAGAGGAAGAGAGGAGGGAGAGGAAGAGAAGAGAGAAAAGAGGGAGGGGTAGAGAGAGGAAGAGGGGGAGAGAGAGGCGCTCAACTTTCTCAAAGTCATTAGTTGTAAAGAGTGTACTGCAGCTGCTGAGCTTGTGTAGTTCACTATCTACAGATGTGATCACAGCTCCAGCCTCCAGTGATGTACAAACACTGGTGAATATTTCTTCACACTCATTAAAGCTCGTCTAAACTACGGGACTTTGGTTCAGTTCAAGAGGAGCCTACAGCTTTACATTCAGATGGACTTTGTACATTTTGGTTGGAGGAGCACTGATTTTTTTTTTTTCTGTTATGGACGTCATTTTGATGAATTTTTACCACTCTAAAGATTTTTGAACAATGTTTTGGATTTCTTATTGCTATGGCAAAAATCTAAACTATTGAAGCACATGAATCCCATGGAGCCATCAGTCACAGAGTCGACGTTTCACTTGTGTATGGCAGGAATTTATCACAATGTGGGCACTGGAATCTGTACACACAAACACACATCTCAAGGACTCATGAGGACACAAATCAGGTCCTCAGGATTTAAATCCTTTATTATTAGATCAAGTAAGTTTTTATTTATATAGAGCTTTTCAGAAACATGTCACAAAGACACTTTACATTTGCTCCACACTCAGTGGTAATAAACTATTATTGTAGTCACAGCTGCCCTGGTGTAGACTGACAGAAGCAAGGCTGCCACCACCATCACTCACACACCACTTTCATACTAGGCAATGTGGATGAAGTGCCTTGCCTAAGGACACAACAACAGTTTTTGCCACTGGTGTCCCCCTGTGACACCTGATTTTCCCAGTGCTCCCATCCAAGTCCTGACCAGGCCCAACCTCTGAGCCTCTGAGATCTGACGGGATCAGACTTTGACAAGTTGGTATGACCACAACAACATGATTTAAAGATCTGATGTGAGTCCAAACAGACTTCAGCCTCATTTAAACCAACTGTGTCATGTGAGGAGTGTGTGTCTGCTCTACGGCCATTTCACACATTCACATTTATAGTGTGTGTATCAGGAATGTGTCTGGTTATTATACAATATTTTCTTTAACACATTTGGGGTACAGTATGTGTATGTGTGTGTATGTATGTGTGTGTATGTGTGTATGTGTGTATGTGTGTGTGTGTGTGTGTGTGTGTATGTGCGTGTATGTGTGGGGGTGTATGTTTATGCAGTCAGTATTTGTGTGAAACTATGAAACAAACTAAACAGATATATAAATGTGCACCTCCCTCGGATCTCCTGCTTTAACACTGACTGGAGTTGTCATAATAAACAGTGGTTCTTACGATGGGCGAGCGTCCGTAGGCAGCCGCCGCAGCAGCGCTCATCTGAGGGGAGATGAGCCCGGGGTACCCAGGGCTGGTCAGGGAGCCGTTTATCTCGTGGTGCCCCATCATGGCAAAGGGCCCATAGGAGCCGGCGATGGAGAGGGGGGTGCGCAGGGCTGGGGCAGCTGGGGGAGAGAGGGCAAACGGGTTTAGAATATAATACAACACAATAAATGACAGGATTTTATTTTATAGAACGCACAAAGTTCTAACTTGGACTATTGTCATTTCTTAAAGGCATGTGATCCCAGAGGAAGTTGAATCATTCATGTTTCACTTATTTCTTAAGTCCCAGTGTTCCGAAATATGAACACTGTATATTTTTTGTCACTAATTTCAGACAGTCAAACCCGTATATGACATAGTTGAAGTGTATTGCAGATAAAAGCACAGCATGTCGTCTTTAACAGCAGCATCTGTAATTAGACATTTACAGAAAACCTGTACAGTCCAATAACTAAATCTACTTCCAAGTCAGAAGGCGGCGTCTCTTACCCAGTGCCTCCATGCCGGGGGCTTGCCCATGGTGAGGGGCCGGAGCCCGGGGGTGCTGCTGGTGCCCGGGGTGGGGGCCTCGTTCCTGGGGGTGGGCGTGTTGGATTTCAGGCTGGGTGTGGAGGACTTGTCGTTCTAAAACAGAGAAGCACTTTGGTTTGACTGGAGTCGTCTTACAAACACGTCCTGTACTGGTCCAGGCTGAGGGACAGGAGCTTCACTTCTACGTCATCTGTGTCGTCATCTCGTCATATGTCATCATGTCATCGTGGAGGGCAGGGGCTGATCGAACTGCTCATACTATGTGTTTCTAACTCTAACCCTAATGTTCAGCAGTTAACATGGTTTTATGATTGTCTGAACACTGAAGAAAAAATACAAAATGGATTTAAACAACACATTTTCAGAAGAGTTCAGGTTGATTTTGATTGGTTTGATTGGAAGGTGAGAGTGACTAATTGATACATTTGGCGGTGTACAGCCAGTATTCAGGAAGTATTTGGAAGTATTGGATTCATCTTCCAGATTTGATTTTAGTTCTATGTGTGACTCTAATGTTATTTTGAGAGGAACTTGTTTAACAGTGTAAATCAGCTCATCTGTTTATTTCCAACTAAAGCGGCTCTTTCTGGTCAGACTGTATTCAAATATGACCTCAAATTAAAATTTAACACACCTCAGATAGAGCAGTGCGCACAGTTACACTCCATGACATGTCAACGCAACCTATACACTCTCCTCTCCACAGATAAGACCTGTAACGGCATGGTAGTGTGTCTCCATTTAGATCGATAAGTGGAGCATTCTGGGCAAAGCAATAACATCTCCATGGAGACGAGCAGGTGCCACAAAACCTGGAATGTGGCTTTGCTCACAGCCCATAAAAGTCAAACAGCAACACAGTTCTTCCAGCAGTAACACTGCTGAAACTGCTAATAAAAAACACTCTTAGTACTTAGTAGTAGTACTTTCTTCTATTCTTTATATGTGTGTAATGGTCAGTGGTGCAGTAGGTTCATGTTGGTCCATGTGTGTACTAGTCTATGTGCTCGTATACTTGTTCTGATACAACTCAACATCATTCTAAAGACTCATTTCTGTTCTGACAATGGGACTTTTTTAGTATCTTCTCATTTGAGCAGGTCTAGTTTTGATACTAGTTTTAGGATTGACTGGTATCTGGTTTTTCACATATTTGTTAACTGTCATTTTTGACTCTCACCTTTCACCTTCATATCAAGAAAAGTCTCCCAATCCTGGTTTATCCACCTCCGCACAATTAGCAAAATCAAAACTATCCTCTCCCTCCCTGATCTGTTGCAGCTCCCTCCTCTCCAGCCTCGACTCCAAATCCATCTCCCTCCTCCAACTGGTTCAGGAGCAGCAGCTCGGCTCCTCACTGGTTTAACATCAACACATGACCCTGTTTTACTTTTCTTCACCTTGTGGGTTTTAGAATCGATTTGAAGATTTTCCTGATCACTTTTAAAGTTCGTTTAGGTCTCAGGCAGGTCCCTGTGTCTGTTCCAAAGTCCAGACTCCAGATGAAGGTGATGGAGCCTTTTCAGTCCGGACGCCTCGACTTTGGAACGACCTGCCTGAGGAGAAAAGACTCACACCAGCACTATCATCTTTAAATCACTTCTTAAAACCCATTTTTATCAGTTGGCCTAGCTTGATTTATTTCTTTTTATTCTATTTTATGAACTTATTATATTTAATTGAACTGGTTTCTTCATTGTCTGATTTTTTTTTTTTCTGGATGCTTTTTGTATTGTTCTTTGCTGCTTGTACAGCACTTTGTAAACCTTATTTTGAGCTTTATAAATAAAGATTTATGATGATTATTATTATTACTGACAGCCCTTGTCGATATACACATTTATTTTATTTATCGTACACATTTACCACATTTTCCCTATTGAGTCTCTGAGTATCCGATGGGACCCAGAGAGGACAGTGGATATCGGACTGTGAGATGGTCAGAGAAGGGGTGGAGGGGGTGAAGCGGTGGAGGGGGTGGGTCAGGTTACAGCGCACTGTAAATCTGCCCCATGGTTTATGTTCAAGTGATCCGCTCTGACCGGTGCTGGAGGGTTAGTGTGATCTGCACCTCTTAAAGAGACGAAGAGAGAGAGAGGAGAGAAGAAGAGAAGGAAGGAGAGAAGAGAAGCAGGGATCTGTGAGAGAGGGAAGGGAGATGGATGGAGACACGAGGAAGGGAGAGAGAAAGAGAGGGGGGAGGAAAGAGAGCGAGAAATGGATAGAGGAAGAGAGTGATGGGGAGAAGGAGAGCGAGTGATGGAGAGACAGGGGAGGGAGGAGGAGAGGAGAAATGTGGAGAGGAAGAGAGGGAGAGAGGGAGAGAGAGATCTGTGGGATATTTACAGCCTGAAATGAGCATTTATTGGGAGAGTCGTAAAGGAGAGTGAGTGGGGTTAGATTTCCTGAGAGTGCCTCCACCCACAGCCATACATACACACATACACACACACACACACACACACACACACACACACACAGATACACACACACACACACACACACACACACACACACACACACAGATACACACACACGGTACTACACTGTGTATATGGTGTTGCAGTAGCTTTATCTATTGCTCTTAGTTCTTCTGTGACCATTTTAGTGCAAACAAGATCCTAGGGCTGTGGAAAAATACTAAAATATCGATATATCGTATCGTTTAATGTGATGATACAGTATCAATATCGTGGGCTGCAGTATCGATATATCACCAAGAGTATTTTTTGGTTTATTTTACTAAATTATTACAGTGCTGCAGTTTTGTTGATTGCTTGAGGAAGGAAACTTGTTTATGCGACACATTTGACATTTTCACTGTTTTCATGATTAAAATGTTTGTGTTTCATATAAATTTTGCACAAGAAGTGGTTTAACAAAGACTTTTAGTGTCACAACCATGATGAAGCCTTTATTTCTTATTGAACTGTATTGAATCAAATTGAAATATATCATTAAACCGTGTCGAATTGCAACCTCACTGTATCGAGATATGTATTGTATCATGGCCTATGTATTGAGGTATGTATCGTATCTGCAACTTCTGAATGATCCCCATCACTACAAGGTGCATTAGCAGCTTTCTGTAAAAAAAAATGTAGCAAAAATGAGTGTGTCCCACCTCCAGTAGGTTAGGGTATCATTATGAAGATATCATTACATGATACATAGGCCATGATACGATACATAGCTTGATACAGTTTACTTTCAATTCAATATGATCTATTTCTATTGTTAAACCACGTCTTGTGCAAAGTTCATATGAAACACAAACATTTAATCCTCAAAAACAGTGAAAATGTCAAATGTGTCAATAAACGAGTTTCCCTCCACTAAAGAAGCAACAAAAGTGCAGTGCTGTAACAAAATAATTTAGTAAAATACACCAACAAATACTTGTGGCGACATATTGATACAGTATCGATATTGTGGGCTGCTGTATCATCACAGTAAACGATACGATACATTGATATTTCAATATTTCCACACACCAAATTTCAATTACAACGTGACAGAGCATCGCCTTGATTACAGCCAGGTGTTTCTGATACAAACACCTGGAGGGGCGGAGCTTGAAGTGTGGATACCTGTTTGACCAATGACAATGTTTCTTAGCGCTCTAGACCCCGCCCCCCTCCCTCTCTTCTCCAGGTACAGCCCAGTTATCAGCTCCGATCTGAAACGTGGCCGGGGCTGGTTTAGTTTAGTTTAGGTGTTCAGTCTGACTTTAAACGTGCGACTGCCTGCGCTGTTGCTATGGTGATACTCACATGGGGGTGGTCCTTGGCTTTCGAGGAGGGCGTGCTCCCGGACGAGGCGACGGAGGCGGGGCTGTTGGGGGCGTTGTCTTTCTTCAGGAGGCGGCTCTTGTCCAGGCCGTTCTCCGGAGGCGAGTGAGCCGGGCTGCCCCGCGGGGTCGCAGGGTCCTGGAGGAGCACAGGAACAGTGAGCGACCATTCTCTCTTTTTCATTTTATGATGATTATTTATGTTTTGACTTGTTTGTATTTTGATTTTGATGCATTTCTTATTATGTGAAGCAATTTGAATTACTTTGTGTATGAATTGTGCTAAACAAATATTTGTCTTGCCTTACAGCTACAATGAGTTTACAGGGATGAGTTATTGTTGTACCGAGAGTTTCCACAGATATCGGTATCAGTCTAAGTTGAGCACTGCCCTAGTCTGTGTGTGCCCATGTGTCAGTCCTAGTTTGTCCTTTTGTATTTTTGAACAGAATTAGAAATCCAAATTGAAAGAGAAGAGTAACTATGGCTGATACGTAAGCAACAAATGATTTCATATCCCGAATAAAATCATTTTGGAAGTATTTTTGTATTTGTTTAGTTAAGTTGTGAACTTTACTTCAACTTGACTTACATTTCTGGTCCTAGTTATGGATTTAAAATCATAATATCTGTACCCACGCTTATCGCTCACAACAGCAAGCTTGATATTTCGAGTGACCAGATTTTCTAAATAAAAAACTAGAACATCCCCAGTCTGGGTTGGTAATAATAAAATTGTGAAATGAGTGCGTAATTAAGGAAAATTGTTACACACTTGGCACTAATATGAGTCAATATTGTCACATTTTCTTTGTGTTTTGGTCGTTTTTAAGCAGCTTTTCTGTATTTTACCTCAACAAATGACTGTTTATGCTTCTCTTTACTGTTGGCAGGGATCAGATTGGTCCAAAATAGGGACACCTGGGACATTTCTTGTGTAAAACTGGGACAAATCTGTGGTTTTGTATAAATCTGCTGGGACAGGGGACACAGGGCTCAAAAGTGGGACTGTCCTGAGTAAATATACACGTCTGGTCACTCTACAGATATCGATACTGGTATTGTTACACATGAAGGCTTTAAAGCAGATCGGGTGAATGCCTGAAAAGATAACCTTTGTGCGAAATCGCTATGTGCACATAAACTTTGCACAAGCCTAACATGCGAGTCGGCGGTGTGGTGGCGTGTGAGTGTGGTTCCCGTTTCATTTGTTTATATGTATTACGTAACACCATTGTCTGGCTCCACACATACCTCCCGGAGCTTAGCCTGAGCTTAGCCTACGCCTGACCTTAATCCCGGCAGTAAGGTGTGTACCGCTATTAAAATCTCATATTGCCACCTATGATGATCTCACCGTTTACCAGGTAGAGTCATAAAACACGCACTTAAGTATGAGTATTAACTCCAATAATATTACTCAAGTATAATGGTCCAAGAATTACTCAAGTAAGAGTAACCATAAAGACGCATTTGCACGAGATTAGGTTTACCTGTGGACCTTTGTTGATTTGTAATAATTGCGGAGGATTCCTGAGATCTTAATCCCGTGCCACTGCGACATGTCTGTAATTTATAAAGTAACAATTCCGCCGTGAATTACTTATTGTATTTCACAGACGTCCGGTCATAAAACTACACTAGTTCCGTGTGAATCTGCATCTCAGTGTTTGTTGTTGTAATTACATCTTTTCTTTCTCTTTCTTCTCTCCGTGTTTTTTTTTTCTCTTTCAGTCTCAGTCAGTGTCAGTAAAACAGAGTCATTTAGGGACTTCGCTTATCCCGTGCACACAGGCGGGGCGGTAATTTGCAAATTACGAGACGTCCCCAGGTTGTATTATCCTGTGTGAATAGAGCTTAAGAGTAACTAGACGTAACATAATATTTAGAATTTGGAAAGACAATCACTGGAAGGACATTAAACGTTAAAGCCATAGTATGTAACTTTTAGCAAAAGATAAGCATGTGTTTTTTGTTTCAATAAATAGTTAAATAAAAAGCATCTTTACTGTGAACGAGCTTGCATCTCTACAAACCTGAATCTTATTTGACCTAGATCAGAGCATCCACCTGCTTCCTCCACATTTCCAGTATGTCTTAAAACCAATGTACCTCCATGAATAATCTGAAGTATAGATTTAACTTTCTATTTCCATGGAATCACGGCACCTCCTGAAAATGCCTAACTGGATCTAGAATAAATAAAGCACAAAATTTGCTGTTTTCAAAGGACAGACACATAAATGAGACAAACTAAATCAGTTCTTAGGAGCTTCAAGCACCACAAATGTTCAAATCATTTTATATAGCAGTCAAAGTGACCCAAATCTGATTTTTTTCGCCCCTTCACAACCTGTACCTGATCTTTTCATGAGAGTCTGAACGACACAGATCTGCTTTTTTCAAATGTGACTCGGTACACTTGGATATGTGCTCCTAAAACCCATACATGTCCGATCTTTTGACATGTGACTTCAGTCTGAACGGCCAGGCCACATTCATCCACCTACACGTCACAAATGTTTCTACACACGTTGCTGCGACTGCTCCACAAAACACCACGGCCAAAAACCTCGTCCTTCTCCTTCTCAATCTCCTTAAACTCTGAATGTAACCATAAAGCTTTTGTAACCTTAGATTTACTCACAGTAGGAAGAGGAAGCACAACTTTTACTCAAGTAAGAGTACTGTTACATTGTACAATAGATTACTCAAGTACAAGTAAAAGGATGACTTACTACTACCCTGAGAAGTATCATTTTGTAAACAAACTTGAGTAAAAGTCCACAGCTCAGATTTTTGTTACTGATTCACATTTTCCAGCCTGCGTTAAATCTGTGTGTCCTGATGTGTCCTGCCCTTTGTCCAGCTTCAAGCATGAGCGCCCCCCACAGACGCAGACACACCGCTGCACACCCACCGCTGCACACAGAGCTAATGACAGCAGCTTGGGAAACAGCACGAGGTGGTGAGGAGGTGTGTGAGGAGGGAGGGCAGAGGGGGAGGAGAGAGGGCAGGAGTAACAGAAGGATGACGAGTACAGAGGAAGAGAAGCAGGAAGAGGAGGAGAAATCAAAAGGAGAAGCAGCTCACCTCATTGGAGACATCCACCACCAGGTCGTCGCTCTTGTCTCCATCACTGTCCTGTAAAATAATCCAGGGAGGCTTTAACACCAGAGGGACTGTTGTGTTCACGTGGCAGCAGAGCATTTCAGAGTTTAAAATAAAGTGTAAAGGAGGAAATGATGGTGTGGTAGAGTTCTCTGTGTGAGAGTACTGCACTTGTGACGCAGATAGTGGTCAGCATCATAATTACTACATCACACGTGAAAACTCCAGCACATTTAAGAAACCACAGCTAAATTAGAATCAGAGCCTGTTCAGCAACATATAAAAGAGTTTAGTCATTTCATTGTGGTAATTAATGATAATTACAAAAATATACAAAGCACATGTACATGTACACTGCCCTGTCAAAGTGGCTGTACCCAGAAGTTTACATGGAGATGAGCAAAATAAGGCAGAGCCCAGCACAATGTGATGTGACTGTATGTGCGTCAGCACGTGCACTGGAATAACAGCTCTCAGGTCACAACGAGGAGGCTAGGCACTGCCTCGACTAATTATAATGCCTTTTATTGCCCAAGAATCAGCAATTGCATGTTAGCATGCTAGTAATTTTGTGTTTTCTACCAAAAAAACAAAAAAACACAAAGATTCTATACAGAAAAAACTGGAGGGTTAAAATTTCAGGGTAAAATATTTCAGTTGTTTTTAACACAAAAGTTGAACACTTCACTTTTTGCTGTATATGAATTTTCTAAATACAGTTAGCATGCTAGTTGTGGTGAGCATGTGAGTCAATCACAAAACTCCACTCTGGCCTCTGGAAGTGTTAAAGTGTTTATAAAGTCATTTTAATGAATACTTAGAAGGCTCTTTGGACCATTGCAAGTTAGACCACTAGTTCTGTTTTTCACATGAAGTAAAAATCTGGTTAAGAGTCTGAACATGAAAAGAACACAAATCTCGGTTTGACTTTAATTCCTGCTTCATTGTTCTGCAGATTTCTGTATATAATAATAATAAGATGAAGGTTGTGCACATTGGTGTCTGTAGGAGTCAGAAGGTTCCATGATTCCAGAACAGTGCACGTACATATCTGCTCATACTGTCTTTGTCGTCCACTTTGCGTTTCTTGGAGTCGAGGCCGTAGTCGGAGGAGCCGCGGTGCTTCTCGCTGGCGGCGCGCAGGCTGTCGGACGGAGACACCGAGTTATTCTGAAACACAAACATGCAGCAGTCAGACATATACTTATAGAACACTACTCACCACGGAACACACATGACTCATGATTCACTCCTGTTGTGTTTAATGCAGCTCTCCACTTTACATCAACACTTCCTAATGATAACCCCAACGCTTTGAACCAAGAGAGAACCTTGTGAGAAATACACATATCCTGGATTGGAATCTGGCTCCAGGAAAATCGTGCTTATTGCTTAAGTGACTGAAAAATAAATATTGTAGTTGTATTTTGACCATTGTTATCTGCACTGAATCTCAATGTATCATAGAAATAAAAGTTTGACTAGTCGACTAATCAAAAAATTCATCACTAGTCGGCTACTAAAATAAATGTTAGTTGCATCCATAAACTGTATACATACACTGGTATATGTGATTTATGATATAAATGAGGGAGCATGGGCGTGTGTTTCTTTGAGCCTTGCTTGTAGTTGGCTTCAGTGGCCCGTCTCTCTGTACCTGCTGTTGTCAGGTTAAGCCCAATTTATGGTCGTGCGTCAAATCATCTGCGTCACAAAGAGTCTGCATCCTGAAATTTTCTAACTACGTGTTGAACCGACGCAGACAATAAGTGCTGTGATTGGTCCTCTCTCTATCCGCTCTCCATATAATTCCAGTACTCCGCTTCCCGCTTCATTTTGTAAACATGAACACCATTTTTAAACCCTAGCCTTCTTGCGTTGTGGCAGTGAATTACTTTGTGGAGCGTTGACCTCGACGCAGATCTGTAAATCTGAAAAACGACGGCGGCAGCGTGTGTTGAGTCGACACAGATATAATAATATAATTATATAATAATATAATAATTCAGCCTTTAGTCTTTTTAGTCTAGAAATGTTTGCATTAACCCACTCTACACTCTGCACTGTTTTTTCCCCTGTATTTTGTCTGTAAATTAAAATATGAACATTAATAATGGACCAATCCAGTGCCTGGTTTCCCCGAGCTCGCTCCCACTAGTGTTCGCAACAGGTTTGAGTGACAGCGTTGCTAAGCGCCCACTCCCTGCCAAACCATCCTTCAACAGCCTCACTCCTGTGAGGCTGTGCAAAAATATTGAAATATCGATATATTGTATTGTTTGTGATGACATCATGGGCTGCTGTATCAATATATCACCAACAGAGTATTTTTTGGTTTATTTTACTTAATAATTTTGTCTCAGCTACAGTTTTATTGCTTGTTGAGAGGAAGGAAACTCGTTTATGCGACACATTTGACATTTTCACTGTTTAGATGATTAAAATAATTGTGTTTCATATGAACTTTGCACAAGACGTGGTTTAACAAAGACTTTTAGTGTCACAGCCATGATTTAGACTTTATTTTTTATTGAACTGTATCGAATCAAATTGAAATATATTATATTAAATTGTATCAAATCGTAACCTCACTGTATCGAGATATCTATCGTATTGGCAACTTCTGAATAATACCCAGCCCTACTCCTGATTGGCTCTTTGGTTTGGAGCTTGGATTTCCAAACATGGTCCCTGGTTAGAGATTTGCTGCTATATCTGCCGCCCTCACTGAGCTTCATTTGGCTGCTGTGGTAGATCACGTCGTTACAGTGTGAGGCTGCAGTGTTCATGTTGTATCACACTGCCCACTCTGACTTGGCATATTCCACCATTTTTATGAGTAAGCACATTCCAGTGATCAGGTCAAACAAAACACGCCGCACTTTGATAACTACAAGATTCTAAATCAGAGAGAATTTTACAGCAAAATTGGTTTATGGTCATGGCTGGACGTTTGTGCTTTTATATTTGTACTGTTCAAAGATATAAATGGTTCTAAAAGTTGGCTGCACTCAGTGAGACAGTGAATCATCAACGAAAAGCATTGGGCATTCCTCCCACGGTTATGCAATTTCACTTTAATTTGACATTAAATATTTGCCATTGTGTGAGAAAGGCTCCCTTAATACATAAACAAGGCCGAGCCAAAATGTGCTTTTCACTGCTGTGAGCCAAGAGCCAAACCCTCCAAAACCTCCACAACCAGAACAACCAGAACACACAACGACTGTGTGTGTCTCTGTGTGTGTGTGTGTGTGTGTGTGTGTGTGTGTGTGTGTGTGTGTGTGTGTCTGTGTGTCCAGAAACAGTGTCAACAAGCAGATGACACTCTGGGAGTTAACTGGAAATGTGTGGAAGAACAGAGAGAGAGACAGAGAAAGAGACAGATATATATATATAGAGAGAGAAAGAGACAGGGGAAGGGGGACGGGGTTGAGAGAGAGAGAGAAAGAGAGAGAGGGGGTAAAGAGAGACAGATAGCGAGTGAGAGACAGAGAGAGAGACAGGGGGTAGAGAAAGAGAAAAAGAGAGAGAGAGAGAAATAAAGAGAAACAGAGAAAGAAAGACAGATAGAAAGTGAGAGACAGAGAGGGGGGTAGAGAGAGAGAGAGAGAGAGGCAGGGGGGGGGGTAGAGATAGAGAAAGAGAAAAAGACAGAAAGAAAGAGAAACAGAGAGAGAAAGACAGATGGGGGGGGTAGTACTCAGGCTGCAACTCCAGTGTTTGTGTCAAATGCAGTTTCATATCTACTTCCAGAAACCTACATTCTGTCTGTTGATTATAAATTCTTAATGATCACTTATCGATTAGTCGACTAATCATGCCCATCCCTAGTTCAGAGTGCACAAGGTAATCAACTCCAGGAGTGTTCATATTTGAGAGAAAACTGAAATATGCACTGATAAACGAAAAGAAGAATCCCAGGCATTTCAGAACACGTTTGTAGAAGTCTAAACTATAAATTATTCCATTCAAAAACAATTATTGTGTCGATTACAGAAAACAATCTACTATCAAAATAACAGCACCAACTCAAACTCAGACGTGGGTAGTACTCAGTTACATTTACTCAAGTTACCCGAGTAAGTTTTTAAAGAAATTGCTCTTTGAGTACTTTTCTAGCAGCATATTTTTACTCCTGCTTGAGTGATATTTTTATTCAAGTAACAGTACTCTTACTTGAGTAATATATTGTACAGTGTAACACTTCTCTTGAGTAAAAGTTGTGCTTCCTCTTCTCTAATGTGTCTAATGTGACAAAAGCTGCATGTGACAATCTGACATTAAATTTTTCAAACTTTTGTGTTTCTTGCAGTTCCTTCACATATGATTTAGTTTTCCCAAATATTATTTACTCTTGTTTTGAAGTAACGTTACTCTTACCTGGGTAACATTTTTGGCTTCTGTCCCCACCTCTCCTCAAACTGTCATCTTGATTCAGCTGCAATATATTTTACAGCCCTATTAAAAATGGCTGAGTAATCCATTTGTCTAGTACTAGTCTGTGTGTGCGCTGTGTCTGTCTGTGTGTTCTGTGTGTGTGTGTGTGTGTGCACGCTCTGTCTGTCTGTGTGTGTGTGTGTGAAAACTGTTCAAAAACGAGAAGTGAAGACTAAAAAGAGGATAGGGGTGCCTGGCTGTGGCTGAGGAAGGCCTGGTCAGCTGTGAACAGAGCAGCGCTGCGGTCAGATGGTTGATGGGTCTGTACGATGCCCTCTGACCGCTCGCTGAACACGCACTTCTGACCAACTCCGGCCTCTTCCCCTCGCCTCAGAACGGACTTGAGTTCTGCTGCTTAAGAGGAAGGCAAACCACACGCACTGACTTAGCGGCTCAGAGTGTGCTAAGAGCCAGGGGAATATACTGACAGGAAATTATGCAAAATCAAGGTGAGATTTGAAATATATTTACAAACTGTCAAAATGTGAGGCTCTTTTCATTTCATTTTTCACTGAAACTAATTTAATACACTGTGCTTTTTCAAAATTGTAATGGGCTTCATCCAATTTCTACCATCCGAAAAACTCCTCAAAAACAGAATGAGTTCATGTGCAGCAGTACAGTCTCACTCCTCACTTTCCTCATACATCCAAGTGATTATTCGAAGTACATTTTCTGTTAGCGGGTAAAGTGGAGTTACTGCTATCAACAGCGAGCATGCTAACCGTGCACAAGTGTCACTTCCGGGTTTGTGGTTGATTAAACGGTCTGATAAGTGGATGTGGTCAGAGGGGCTGATGGTGCAGACAGTAACTCACAACCACCACGAAGAACGAACAAAACCCACTCAGAGCATCGAGAGAGCACTAGAAAAGACTGATGAAGTACTAATAAGTAGGTAGTAGTAGGTATTATTGTGAGTATGATTATTAGTATGAGTATTATTATTAGTATTCGTTATCGTCGTAGTCGTAGTAGTAGTCGTAGTCGTAGTCGTACTAGCAGTAGTAGTAGTCATAGTAGTAGTAGTTGTCGTAGTAGCAGCAGCAGCAGTAGTGGTAGTAGTAGTCATAGTAGTCGAAGTAGTAGTAGTAACAGTAGTCGAAATAGTAGTTGAAGTAGTAGCAGTAGTAGTAATAGTAGTAGTACTATTAGTAGTTCTAGTACTAGTACTAGCACTAGTAGTAGTACTAGTAGTAGTAGTAGTAGCAGTAGTAGCAGCAGTAGTAGCAGTAGTAGTAGCATACAGTAGTAGTAGTAGCAGTAGTAGTAGTAGTAGCTAGTAGTAGTCTAGTAGTAGTAGTAGTGGTGATAGTAGTAGTAGTAGTAGTAGTAGTAGTAGTAGTAGTAGTAGTAGTAGTAGTAGTAGTAGTAGTAGTAGTAGTAGTAGTAGTAGTAGTAGTAGTAGTAGTAGTAGTAGTAGTAGTAGTAGTAGTAGTAGTAGTAGTAGTAGTAGTAGTAGTAGTAGTAGTAGTAGTAGTAGTAGTAGTAGTAGATAGTAGTAGTAGTAGTAGTAGTAGTAGATAGTAGTAGTAGTAGTAGTAGTAGTAGTAGTAGTAGTAGTAGTAGTAGTAGTAGTAGTAGTAGTAGTAGTAGTAGTAGTAGTAGTAGTAGTAGTAGTAGTAGTAGTAGTAGTAGTAGTAGTAGTAGTAGTAGTAGTAGTAGTAGTAGTAGTAGTAGTAGTAGTAGTAGTAGTAGTAGTAGTAGTAGTAGTAGTAGTAGTAGTAGTA